ATTAAATAATTACCACTTATTATATGTTATTTTAAAATGTCTACTGTCCAGAAATGATTGCCCAAACATGATGACCACACCTATATTAATAAGCAACAGTTAAATCTGTTTGTAATACATACTACTTATTTATTAATATAAGTAGAGTTGCATATATACCTTAAAAATGAATGGCAAATTTGTTTATTATTCAAACATGTAATCACATATGAAGTTGTGTGAGATTTATTCATCCTATTTCGTTTAGGGTGAGGAGGAGACCACTAGTTGAGCTTCCCACAATGTTATAAGTAGACTTTAAGTTTCCATAGCATTTCACAAGGCTTAACTTTCCCAAAAGGTATTCTCAAACAGGCTGAAGTGGATTACCATTTCGACCTGCCCTTAGATGGACTCATCAGCATTCCCAGCGGGACTCTAACCATGACAGTTCAGCGTGTAATCTCGATACAGGGATAATGCAACTATCGGTATCCTTATCAATTTAAACGAATTATGATGAATACTTCTTGTAGGGTTAATAAGCTACATGAAGAAAATGCGAGTTTTAAAAAAGCTTGTTGTGAAGACTTTCATTTCATGCGAAGATACATGACAAAGAGACTTGTTGGTCAACCTCACCGCCTTGATACGACGTTCAGGTTGAGGCAGTCCAAGAGCCATCCTCAAGCGTTTCGGGCGAAGCCGGGCTGGGCTTTCTTTCATCATGTGCCGAGCATCGCCGGAGCTGGGACTCATTTAGAGATAGATCAGAGATGGGCAAGTTGGGAGCCTTTCTTGGGTCCTAATCTTTCCTCAATTTTTCTTTCTAATAAGATTGGCCAGCTGGTGAGGAAGTGAGGGACAAGGACACTTTTCAAAGAAACTCTGACATTATCTTCGAGTAAGCTCTCTTTTAGAGACAAGTAGGATTCATTATCAAGATCCGGCTGTTGCAAGAGTATGTACTCCTGTGCTCGACTTTATGTTGGTGAGATCTGTCGGCCGATCTGCAAAAGATTAACGGAGCCCACAAACGCTTGTGAAGACAACTGGATCTAAGCTGGGTCAAAGTATATTTTGATTAAATCCTAGATCATACAAGCCAATTCTCCATAGGAATAATGCGCTGTGAACTTTTGTGTGACTAGACGGGGCCAGACTGAACCTCTTGAACCCGATAAATCTTGCCGGTTGTGTTCTCCAGCGTTTTAACAACGCTGTTTTAGACTACGAGTCCAAAACACATGGAAATGCTTTCGCTGAGTCAAAGTTCGAGTGAATCCGGAAATTTACGTCGAAGTTGGTTTACTTCAAATTTTTAAGTGTGGACCCTTAAGAGGGAGCCATAGAAGTTGTTGCTCGTAGGTAAAATGATGCTCTGAATGTCCCCTTTTGTATATTTTACGAAGGAGAGGTCTCAGTGATAGCGAGGCTGTCCAACACGAATTGAGGAGAATGTTCGATTTCGGCAAT